CCACCTAATTTTTTTTTTCAAAATTAAAAATTTTGTTTTACCTAATTTAAAGCTTATTTTTTTCCAAATTCAACCATGTGTAATAAAGTTATGTTACGAAATATCATTTTCGAAAATTAATTATAAACGCTCCCGTATATACGCTCATCCGTGCTATGTGCGTAAGTAATTACCGTCGAACAATAAAATATATAAAAAATGTTTTTGTATAATTCTTATTTATGTTTTCTATGTATTTATAACTGTGTATTGTGTATATTTAGATTTTTTTAAAAATGTATTTGCATTTTATATTATTCACTCATTATACACATTACAATAATGATATTCGACAAAAAAATGTTTCAAACATAATGACTTCTTGCACCAAGAACATCTTACTACAGCTATATTATTGCAACCTTCGATATCACATTTTGTTAAAGTTTCGTCTAAACTAAAGTGTACTGGATTTTCGAATTCGTCTGGTCTTTCATTCGTATAACCACTTTTAAACCACGAATATTTAAATAAGTTTTGATATCGTGGGGATGACAATTGATTATGTATCAAAGATTGCAATTTTATTATATTATTTCGTTCATGTAAGTTTATATTACTTTCCAACAGTAAAACCGCATCTGAAAATCTTTTAGCAAAATTTTTCCAAATTCTGAATCCATAAACATCTAATGGTTGTATTTTCCCTGTAGTTCCTTTCGGTATTATCATAGTAGTAATATGTGTTCCAGGAGGTGTTAAATCCGAAATCATATTGGGGCAATGTCCAGTCCATGAATCGATAAGAAGAACGCTATTAGGACCAATGTTTGCGAAATAAGCTTCTTCTAACCACATTTTAAAATGATCTGTACAAAATATAAATGTTAATTTAATAGTTTTTTTATGACTCTTATTAAATTGTTAAATAAAATAAGGTTGTTAAAAAAGTAATTATAAAAGGAAAATACCTGATGTCATTTTACCAGATTTCGATGCTTTTACAATAACATTTTCTGCTTTAAATAAATTTTCTTGTACTCTTGGTCCAAATTTACCATTAGCTTCTTTTAATACAATAAATAAAGGGGACAACAAATTGCCATTACAGGATATTATTGGTTGTATCGTATATGAATGGGTTGTTGATGATATGGATTGCACGACACGTTCTACTTTCTTTTCTCCCTGGTTAGACAATGATCTTCCAGAGTGAAGTTCCAATTGGAAACCACTTTGATCTGAATTGTAAATATTTTCAGATCCAAACTGTTCAATAAGAGGTTTTACTGTTTCCAGAAAATCATCAGCTGATTTTTGCAAATCAGCAGAATCTTCTAATGTTCTTCTAGTGACAAACTTCGTAACTTTTCTTGAAACAATTCGGTGAGACTTCTTAAATCTTGCTATCCAACTGTGAGATGCTTTAAATATAGGATTTAAATTTCCTATTTCTTCTTGAGCTTGTAAAGCCCATCTTTTTAAATCAATATCATGAACCATGAATCCTGATTCGACAGCTGCAGTAAATTTATCATGTGTAAATTTGGAGATGTAAGATAATTTTTCTGTACGACTTCCACCTGATTGTATTTGTTCTTCCCATCGCCTTAACTGACGTTCAGATGAAACTCTTCTAAATTTATTTTGTACTACTCTTAGAGGACGATTCCTTTTTCTGTCATTACTGTTTTCATCAGTGTCCCGAAATCGCCAATACTCAACAGCTCGTCTTTTATAAGAACTATCAAAATTTGTATCATCATTTGAACAATGAGGATGAGAATTTAAACTATCTTCATGCCATGCTTCTTCGTCATCTTCAATTATTTCAAAACTATGTAATTTATAAGGTTCTTCATAATCGAGATATATTTCTTCCGTTACTTCCACCCCATTATAATGAAAAACGCTATCCAGTAATATTTTTTTAATGTTTTCCTTTAATTCCACTTCTGCTTCAGTTACTGGCGTTTCTGTTAAATATATTGAATTTATTGACACCAATAAAAGTCTAACAACGTTAAGCGGATTGATAATCATATTCAAAGATGTTATATTTTGCTTTCTATTGCAATAAAAGAACAGTTTACACAGATATTATTACAACGAAAAGACTACACCGACTGTGAGAATTATGCTGCTACATGAACAATTTATATTAACTTATCAGAAATACGTCATCACATAATCTTATTTTATTATTTATTTTAACGTATTAAAGATTTTATTGTAAAAATTATAACTTATCTGGAACACGTACACATAATCTTATCTTATGATTCATTTAACGTAAGATATAAAATTTGTTTATGCCAAATATTGCGACATTGGTATTCGCAAGATTCAATTAAAAAATAATTTTATTATAAAATATAATTGTTTTTAATTTTTATAGAAGAAATTAAATATTAAAGAAATAATAAGAAAGCAGGGGGTATATTTAAAAAATTCTTATTAATTATATTTAAAAATTTTTTTTTAAATCTAAATATACACAATACGCAGTTATAAATACATAGAAAACATAAATAAGAATTATACAAAAACATTTTTTATATATTTTATTGTTCGACGGTAATTACTTACGCACATAGCACGGATGAGCGTATATACGGGAGCGTTTATAATTAATTTTCGAAAATGATATTTCGTAACATAACTTTATTACACATGGTTGAATTTGGAAAAAAATAAGCTTTAAATTAGGTAAAACAAAATTTTTAATTTTGAAAAAAAAAATTAGGTGGTGAGGGTTTTTTTAAAAAAAAAAAAAAAAAAAAAATTTTTGTTCATATAACTTTAAAGTACTCTTCAAGCCATTAAAATTTGTTGTACGTTTTTTCTTTATATCTCTTATAGTTTAGCAGATATTTGATCCTAAAGAAAAATACCGTTATTCTTTAAAGGGGTGTTTCACCCCTTAAAACTCAAATTGCGCACGTATAAAAAAATACGTGTCTTTTAGATTTGTGTATTTAACAACATATTTCAAGGAGAATCAAATCGGTTCCGGACAGTTGTGACATGTCCCTTGTAAGTACAATAAATATCGCCCTAGATTAAATATTATCTGTATCTAAATAAATATTACCATATATATATATATATATATATATATATATATATATATATAGAACACGGGTAAGAATACACGGCTATGAGAAAAAAGATTAAAAAAATAAATAAAATAAAATAAAATCGAGAAAAGATACCTGAAAATTCCTTATCTTGATTTTCATAAACTCGTATAAATACGGCTCTCGGAGTTAAGTTAGTTAGTTACATTTTTGAATTTCGTCTCTCGCGCACTCACGTATTCGACGCAAGTGTACCATTAAATTTCAATAATGAGTTTGAAAAAAGTAGTTGAAATTTGTCTATCACTAGCGCAGAGTTTATGCGGGAAAAATTTTTCCAAGCATATATATGAATTAGCATCCCTGGCAAAAATAATATGTTTATTAAAAGTTTACAAAGAGTTTGTTTAAATGTTAAGTAGATATTTTATTTGAATTTTAAAACATTCATTAAATTGTTTATAAGATGTAAATTTAAACATGGAATTGTTTGTTAAATGTTCATGGTTAACGTTTGATAGGCGTTCGGAAAGTGTTGTGTGATGTTTTCGGAGTGTTGTATATGTTCAGGATGTGTTTTAAGCAGCAATTCATAATTGTGTTAATTGAGTGTTTTTTTATTATTGTTGAGATGTTTGTAAAGTGTTCCAACTGTTTCACAAAAATTTTTAAACAACTCAGTAATAGTTTACAAAGTGTTTTGAAAGTGTCCGTGTGTCAGTGATGAGATGTTTGTTCAATGTTTTTTCACACTTTTTATTGTTTATTTTGTTGTTAAAGATTAGTTTTTCTAATTAATTCCATTATGAGGAACAATATAGATCAATTATAGATTTCAGTCTAATCTTACTGATTAAACTGACATTTATAATCGATCTATACTGTTCCTAATAATGGAATTAATTTATCAAAGCAAAGATCAATTAATCCAAAATTTTGATATGATTCTAATTTCTTCTGCATATTATTACACAAGTACCATATACATATTATTATACAAGTTTCTTAGATGTGAATTTTATTTCTATTTATGGATAAACTTAACACAATCAGTCTAGTCATAAAAATAGAGATAGAATTCCACATCTAAGAAATTTGCTCTAAACAATATGCAATTAGAGAATACACTAGAATCATATATAAATTCCGCATTATATATGTATATGTAATTGATTTTTTTATCTTTTAGTCATCAATATTGCAAATATTAAGAAAATATTTAAAAAATGTATAGATTTACAGTTAAGATTTTGAAACTACATGTTTTTATTGTAAATTATTTTTTTACAGTTTTATACATTTCTTTTTTTTCAAAATTATATTTATTACTTACATATATTTTAGTTTTAAAATTATTTGCTTCTTAAGGTTCCTGGGTGCTTATGGCGGTCATATTGGATTGTGACATCAGAGGCGAGAAAATACACACTGAGATTTCTTAGATGCCATCTCAAAATAAAAAAATATTTCGATGAAACGGCACTTTAGATGGCTTTGGCACACTTTTAAAAAAACTTTGAAAACTATTCTTTTCCCTTGACAGTCAATCAACAATAGTAAAATCATCGTGATCAGACTTTGACATGCGGAATGACTGCGCATGTGCAAAAATCAGACGAACTTAGCCCAGCAGATCATTACAGAAAGTGGCTTGAAAATTTTTCGATTGGGAATACTGAAGACGGTAAATACAGTTCTGCCCAAATAGAAGATTTGATCAATAGCCTCTTAACATATCTTTCGAAAAGGTGTATTGATATAAATAATGGATCACGTGTAAAGAAAAGCGATACCTGAAGTAAACGATTGCAACAAAGACAACCCAGACTGGGGCTTGTATTACGATCATTTTACAGCTGTTGATTGATTATAAAGGGAAAAAGATAGTTTTCGGAGTTTAGAGTGTGCCAAGCTATCTGAAGTGGTTTCATCGAAATATTTTTTATTTTGAAATGGCATCTAAAAAATCTCAGCGTGTTTTCTCGCCTCTGACGTCACGATTCTGACATGGTCGGCGAGGTACCAGGAGCCTTTACAACCTCAAAGTGTTATGCCCGATTTCTGGAAAATAAATAACTGTGATTAGAATTAATTTACACTATTTTTGCAAGTAAAAAACTAAATAAATTTACCAAAATTATTTGACATAGAAGTAGAAATAACTGGGACTGCTACTGGGCCCTGCGGCCCATTCCCGTACGTGTCATAGGGAATCTGCCAGCTTAAATAGTCAGTTTCCGGTGTGTTTAACTGCTGTTGGTTTTGTAACTGCTGTTGATTTTGTATCTGCTCTTGTAGTGGCTCTTGGTCAGGTTGCAATTGCTGGGTTCTTATTGATGGCTGAAGTTGTTGCAAAGAGCCCCTTCTTTTATATTGTCTTTTCGAATCAGATCTTTGTTGCAATTGTTTACTAGAGGTATCGTTCTTTTTTATACGCGATCCGTTCATGTCAATACATCTTTTCGAAAGATATGTTGGGAGGCTATTGATCAAATCTTCGATTTGGGCAGAACTGTATTTACGATCTTCAGTACCCCCAATCGAAAAATTTTCAAGCCACTTTCTGTAATGATCTGCGAATTATTAATATTAGATATTAAAACAATTGTCCAGAATATAAATAACATCATTCAACAAATTGTACATCTTACATTTGGCAAAATTTACAAACAAATGTGAAAAGGATTCCAAGTCTGAGCTCCTAGGTTTCCCATATCTCATATTCCGGGCCTTATCACCGTAGATTCCGGTAAGGAATGCTACAGCCCAATCAGAATGTTCCTTAACCGTACTCAGAACATGATAGGCATATTTGGAACACATAATTCCCTCACCAAGATGTACCTGAGGAAGTAGCAATGAGTTAGTAAAAATCGACAGCACAATTCACAAAAAAGTATTAGCCTGTATTCCATTTTTATCCGAGAAAAAATTAAAAGAAATAATACCTTTTCCTCCGATTCAGGAGCCATACTGCTCGAAGTGAGTGTAGAAGGCACATGTATTTCTGGAAAAAAAATTAATTATAGGTAAATATTATAGGTAAATATTAATATAGGTAAATATTAATTATAGATGACGTACTCATTATGTTCTCGATATTTGATATTTTTTGATCAAGTTGATCAACGCTTTCTCCAATCATATCTTTAATTACTTTAATTTTTTTCTCTAAATTTTTTCCAATCTTTCTTCTAATTTCATCATTTTCTTATCAAAAATCCTCTCTATATGCTCAACTTGCTGATTGTTAGCAAAGGAAATTTCATCTTTTTTTTCAGCTCAGCCTTTAATTGCTGAATTTGTTCTAGAAGAGATTTCGTCTCGATCGAACCTCTGTTAACAAATTCATAGTTTTCACTCTCTGCTTGAGTATTATCTCCATCATATCTTTTGCTTTTTTTCTTTTTTTTTCTACAATAAACAAAAAATTAATAATAAATGTTTTATTCACATTTAACATTAAATTTTCCTATGAGACTTACTTTCGCTGGTTCAATTGAAACATCTGTTTCGGGAATTTTTTCTTGCAATAAATTATTCTCAATAAATAATTCGAATTCCTTATTTGAGGCACGTTGTTTTTTTTTTCGTGATTTTCTGTACACCGAAATAAAAACATAACTTAATGAAGGTAAAACGATTTTTAAATAATAAATGAAAGATTTATACTGACCTCTTGATCTTTATTTTTTTTGACAAAATAATTTACTTGCTCGTTCTTTTCCTGATCTTCTACTCCCGTGGATTCAGGTTCTTCATCGTCAATTTGCAGGTCTGGCCATTTAGGTCTCACATTATCCAGGGCTTCTAAAGACTCTGAATTAAACACATTAAAACATAATAAAGTGTGTAAAGCGTTTTCCATTCTTGTTAGCATCTTACACATTAAGTTTTGATAATAGATAAAAGCTGCCGATACTGTTATCGTCTCAAGACTTAGATTAATTTAAAGTTATATTTGTCATAGAATGTTGCAAATCGTAACGTGTGCGCAATGTCGTAATATTTTAACTAAATAATGTTCTAAATCATACTATAAAAAAACCAACAATATTACTCAACATATTACCAACAATTACTCAATGATTTTTATAGACTAATTAGACAAAAATCAGATAATTTTATTTAATTATAAAAAACTAAAAAAACTTTTTGCAATATTTACAAAAAAATTGAATATATAATTATTTAAATATGTTAATAAGAACTATTTTGAATTTCATAAAGCTTTACCGTGTTATTTATTACTCAATAATTTTTATAATAAAAATGACAATTAATATTATACATGGGATATTAAAAAATCATGATTTTAAAAGACCTATATCAGTATCAGACTTTTCTCTATTAGTAGTTGTAATTTTATGTCAAACTTGAGAATACTATAACACAATTAAGAAAAAAATTATGTATTTTTATGCGCTAAAAAAATTTCTTACCTGCCAGTTTGCCAATAACGGCATAATATTTTGATTCTTTGCCATTTTTGCTGCGTAGACTTGTTCGAACCGAATACAATTTGCCATACACATAATCATTTAGATCCTCAGGCTGAAATTGAATCTTCTCTCCTTTGTCATTAACATCACTTATTTTACTTATTGGCACTTTTTCTTTTTCATTATCTTTATATTTCACATACGCGAACCAATTAGACGTATTCATATTATTACTGAAGTCACGGATATAAACTGCGTTCGCTTTGACGCTTTCAGCGCTATAAGCATCTTTCTTAGCAACGCGTCAACAACGTTCATAATAAATGAAAGAGCGCGGGACTTGGTAACGAGCGCGGTCTCAGGAACGTGTGTATCACAAATGTAACCCCTCTGGTCCACAATATTTTAAATAATTGTGAAGATATAAAAATTTCCAATGGGGCGTTATAAGCGCTATTTGTTCTTAAATAAGAATATTCCTCGGTGTACGCAATGGTATCGACGTAAACGACAAAATGAAGAAGAAAGAATGCTTCGATCTCATTCGGTAAAGTATCCGTGTTAATCACTAACAAGGAAAGTCGCGGTTGACTCTTCACCGATTTTGATCCATTTTTTATAATAAATCTACTCTGAATATAGTTAAGCCCTATAGAAATTTTTTGTCTGTCAATACGTCTTGTAATATATTTTTATACTTAAAATTTAAATAAAATGTATGTTATACGATACAAAGAAAGACGTGTTATAGATCAATGCCCTATGGCACAGTGAGTGAGTGCAAAAGTTAATAATACGAGAATACAGGTTCAGAACTTGCGCTGTCAATACTCTTTTTTTATTTTTTGGTTTTTTATTTTTTTAGTTATTTATATATATATGTATATATCATGTATTATTAACTACATAGAAAAAAATATTTGGCATATATTTACAATTAGATACGTATATATCTTTTTATATATTTGTCTGCATAAAATGTGAAATAAATAGTTTTACAGAAAAATACTTTTACTTTTATTTTTATTTTTTACTTTTATTTTTAAAGATTTATACATTTTCTATAATTTTCTTAAATAATGTAATAATAATGTTAAGATATATGTATACACACAAGTTTCATAAAAACAACTATTAGAAATCTCTGTTAAAGTCTCTTTAAAAAAAGTAAAAATATTTTTATGTAAAAATATTTTCTTTATTTTACATTTTACGCAAACAGATATAAAAAGATATATGCGCAGCTAATTGTAAATATATGCCATTAAATATTCATTTTTACATAATAAATAATAGATATGTACATATATATGTATAAAATAATTTAAAAAAATAAAATAAACAAAAAATTTTTAAATGTTGGCAATGCAAGTTTCGGGAACTTCGCTTTTTACTAACGGTTGCACTCATTCATTGTGCCATATGACATTGTTCGATGATGTGTCCTTCTTTGACTTATAACGTACATTAGAATTTATCCAAATTTCAAGTATATAAAAAATGTTATAAACCGCATTGGATGAAAAATCCTTTCAGGATTTTTCAAAGTAGATTTGTTACAAAAAGGGGATCAAAATTGATGGAGAGTCAACCACGATCTCTCCTTTGTAAGAGTTTACAATTCTTAGATAAAAATAAAATACAGATTTTTTGTTAACCTCTTACATTTTTTGTCAATATCCTTAGATCGATCAACAAAAGCTTGTCCATATTAGTGATGAAACTTTGCAAGGAGAAAGGCTTCCACTTCATTTAAACTCTGATGAAAGACAGGGAGAATGTACAAATTCTAATCAAGTCTATATACAAGCATCTCATATTGAATCAATAAAAAGCAGTCCAACAGAGGTTTCAACTTCAAGCTCATCAACATTAGTAGTACAAAATACACCAGCTTTGTCAATATTTCAATCCACCTGCAGCCAAGGTTCAGATTCGATTGGTTGCTTTTCAACTGAAAATTTTCAATCTTTTGCTAGTAATGCTGAAGAGCAAGACAAAGACAGTAGTGATTCCAACTTTAAAAGTATTGAAACTGAAGATGAATCTGATCTGGAAGAAGTTACAGATTATCTTAGGGAAGAATCTATTTTGAAAAATGTTGAATCTCGTCTTGTAGAAGAAGAAAATTGTTTCACCTTTCACGACGAATTTATAAGAGATGAGTTATCGAATTCTGATGAACAAGAAACTCTTTGCCCATGTACCAAAACTGCTGTTGCGGATGTTATGCTCATGTGTTTAGTATTAGGATTGAGACATAACTTATCATGGGAAGCTCAGACCGACATTTTAAAAATGTTTAACGCTATTTATGGAGATAATACGATTAAAGTAACAAAGTATAGCTACTTTAAATTGTTAGATAGAGAGAAAGAAAACATATATTTTCATATTTATTGTCCGGATTGTGAAATCTATCTTGGAAAAAAAGAAATATTGAAAGGAAATGAAATATGCACAAGCTGTGGTGTTGATATTGATGTTTCCAACTCATCAAATTTTTTTGTCTCAATATCCTTAGAATCTCAACTTCAAAAATTGACCAAAAACAATGATTTTGTTCACGCTGTGATGAATCATAGGTTTAATCGAAACAAAATTGAAGAAAATGCTTTGGAAGATATCTATGATGGAAACGAATACAAGAAGCACTTTGAGAAAGAAGGTGTATTGTCTTCACCATACAATTTCTCTTATTCTTTTTTTACTGACGGTGTTCACACAGGTAAATCAAACAACAAGACACTTTGGCCTATTTATTTACTATAAATGAATTACCAATCTCAGAACGGAATAAATATGTCTTACTTGCTGGCTTGTATATAGGACCCAAAGATCCTAATCAAAAAATTTTTTTTCAACCGTTTATTAACGAAGCTAATAAACTTTCTACAGAAGGATTTAAATGGTTTCACAATGGCCAAGAAACTGTTAGTAAAGTTATTCCACTTTGTTGTATTGCTGATTCAGTTGCAAGATACCAATTGCTAAATTTTCAGTCATTTGCTGCCTACTATGGCTGCACATTCTGTTACCAAAAATCAGAGCGCACACGAAAAGGACAAAGATTTACAGTTTCAATTCATCCTGCTGAGGAAAGAACATTGGAGTCTACAAAGGAAGATCTACTTAAAGCATTTCAGAGAAAAGATGAAACAA